TATCTTTCAAAACTCTTTCTCTTCAAACCTCTCTCTCCTCAAACTACCCATAACTCCTACGGCAGCTGAACACAGAAAAGGGATGCCCATTCCCAAAAGCAGCTTTGAACAAGTGAAGAAATAATGACGGTGTGGTAAAAGAGGAAACTGAGAGATAGTATAACATTCTTAAGAGCTCTTTTGTGTGAGAATGTCCTCTATCAACAACTACTCTGTGTGTCTGTGCGAGTCTGTGTTATTAGCAGTAATGCCTTCACTTGCAACAGACCTGGCCCTAGGCAAGTCTTATTTTAATTCTTTATTTGATCCATTTCTGACAGCTTTGATCTAGCCCAAAGGAACCACACTTTACTAAGTTCCTAGCTAACCCCAGTCCTTCCCTGAGACTAAATTAATTCCCAGGATGACTCCCTTAAACTAGTTTCAACCTATCCATTGAAAGACTTCTAAAATCCAGAAAACAAATTAAGGAGAGAGATGGATAAGGATCGTCAACATGAAGAGAAGAGAAATAGATCAAGTATTTATGAGCAAAAGCTGTTTGCCTACGACAGTGCTCTGATGGACTATATAGACCCCTCTCCCAGAAGATCAGGTCATTATGTAAAATGGAGAAAAAGGATCAGAGGATGAACAAATTGATACAGACTCAGATCTGACCAGGAATTTTTTCTTATGGAAGTGAAAGACACTTCTAAAGGATGAAAGAACTTTTTGAAAATGGTATATCTATTTTGAAATACCCCAGCCATTCTAATGTTAGTTTTAAGTAAATCAATTCTTAAAGAGGAAGAATCACCTGGATGAATGCCTTTTTTTTTTGCAGCTACCATTGAACCCTATTGTAGTCTTTAAAAGCTCAGATGGTAGCTCATAATATTCTGGAAAGCACACTCCTGTGTGCCAACTACGTCAGTCCTCCCTGGAACACACACTGTGCAGGGGAATTAGGATGTCTACAAAAAGCCCAGCTGCTCCTGGTTCCATTATCCCTGGTTCTGTTATCTTCCTCTGCCCTAGTCACAGATGCCTCTGTTTCCCTGCCCTATTTTTTCTCATCCTGGTCTTTCCTCTTTGCCTCTCCTGAGGACTTCTATCAGCCTATGGGCCTCAAGAATGTCTTGAGAGCCATCAGAATGACTCAAGGGTTCACAAGCATCTCCCTACTCCCATTAGGGGGCTGGATGACTCCTTGCAGTGGGGGGGCTGTCCTGTGCATTCTAAGGTGTTTAGCGGCTTTGCTGGCCTCTAAGCAGATATCAAGAGCATCACCTGTCCTAGCTGTGACAAACAAAAAAATGTCCAAATTGCCAATTGTCCTAATAAAGGAGCAAAATCTCCCCCTGTTGAGAATCACTAGAACAGTTGTATCTCCTTCTACTCCTTAACTTATCAACTTGGGGTTAAAAAGGTACTAATGAAGACCAGAGAGGGAACAGGGAAGGAATTATCTCATTGTAGATGGCCTCAAGAAGCATCCTTTCTACAAATATGTTGGCAGAGTCCAATTTCTCTAAGAATTCTACCCTATCTGTCAAGCTCAAGAATATCCTGAATCCGCCAGCACAGTGCATTTCGCTTGTCTCACTTATCAGTTCCAGGTTATAAGAGAAGCCGTTAAGATGGAGGGGCCTTTGTGTTTTGACCTCAGAGACAGTGTAGGCAGGAATTTTCAGCAGGCTATAAATATCCAGCGCATTCTTGTATAACCCATAATGCCTTGTTAGGTTAATACAAGGTGTCATTGTTGAGCCTTAGTGCTTTGTTGGCAATTCACTATGAATTTGGGAAAGGAAGGAAGTAGAGCGAATGACATGCTTAAATGATTAGGAACTGCCATATGGCTCACTAATAAGGTGACTTGGGCACTTATATACCTTTCTAAATGCTGGTTTTCTCTTGAGTTTTTTCTAGCCTTAGAAAACAGTCAGCTAAAATGTCAGCTGTCAATGAGTGAGCTGATGGGAATTTCCCAACATTTTTCCCCTAAATTAATCACAGTTAATTCTCCAGGCTTATCTTGTGTTATCCTATACACAAGAAAGTCCACTTAAATGCATTTAAGGCCAGTTGTGGTCCGTGTTTCTGACAGGTCTTTCTTTTACATCGCCCCCTAGCCCCCCATACCGAGACAGACTAGAGACTGACATGATCAGTTTCTGTGTTAGGAAACACAGATTTAATATTAAATTTCCTGCCAGTTGGTTTGGTCACTTTCTTTGTAAAGCTAATAGCACCTCTGTGCCTCGGTTTTTCTACGTGCCCTCAGAATACCACAAAACTCAATCTACTTCAACTCAGCCTCTCCACAGCACTGACACATTTCACTGCATCCCCCTCTGAAACACATTTCACTCTTGGCTTTCAAGACACTACCTTCTCCTTGATTCCAGTTTTCCTGCAACTCACCTCAGTTTCCACAACCCTTCTTGACTGATGGTTCTCTTAAATTTGTGCTCTTCTTGACCCACTCGGGCATGCAGGTGTGACATCGAGTCTTCTCTGTCTCAGCTCTCCCTGGTGATCACCTCCAGCCTTGCAGTTTTAAGTACCACCCACTTCCTAACGTAGGAAGTACAAGTTTCTACATCCAGATATGAATTTTTCAATGGGCTTTAAAAGTCACAGATCTCATTTTCTACACCCCAAAATCTCTTGGATCTAACAGGCATAACAAAATTAGGGTGGCTAAAACAGAGCTCTCTAAACACCATCCCTCTTACTCACTCCGTCTCTTCTTGACTGCCCAAGGTCCTAGCCACATGTGAATGTTTATCTTCCTCCCAACTCCTTACCTCAAGCAGCTCTCCTTTGCTCCACTCAGGAAATTTTCTCACTCTCTCCCTACTCCGTGGCCGGGTTAATTCAAAGTCTTGCTCAGGTAAACTTCTTATGCCATGAGCAGAACTTGGGCTGCCCTAGATTTCCTTTATTCCACTCCTTCCTTAATATTCAAAGGCCCCTGTTATTTATACCTCTGCAAGGAGGGTTGTGGGCACAGTAATACTCCTGACACTCATGGTTGGTCCCTGAATTGGTTATCCTACGTGGTCAGGGCATAAAGCCTTCTGATGTGACATTCATAATGCAGCAGTTTTGACACCAAAGTTTGACCTAACTGCAAGGAACCCAAAAAACACAAGCTTTTGATATAGTTAGATGAATAATTCTTCTGCATGTTTTTGTTACCAAATGACAAATGAAACAAATACCCTTCTCATATTCCAGAGTCTCAACCATTTCCTGATCTCTGGGTAAACGTACAAATACGGTATAAAGAAAATATGGGACAAAATATCCACCTACCAAAACTCTGACACCAAAACGATGATATCAAGTAAGTCAGAATAATAAACAGATGTATTAGTTTCATAAAACTGCTTAGCAAAAAAATCTGAAAATGCCTTGATAAAAATGCAAAATGCAAAATGTTCCTGAGAAAAGAGTACAGACTCTTAAAAAAAAAAAAAAGAAAAGACAGATTCACGAACCTTATAGGTCTTAGAGTCAATTTTTTAAAAAAATAGAGATTAGCGCTAGCTTCTAAAGGTACTGAGCTTTTAAAAATAAAATTAAACTTAGAGTCTTCAGGTAAATATGCAAATAACCAACAGGAGGAATGTTGTGCTCTGTCTGAAAAATGGAGTGGAAATTAGCCTTTTAATGGTTGATAAAAAACAGTCTCAGAAGTAGAGTTTATTTTCTCAATGTAAACACACCCTAAGTGAATTCTTATCCTTTTTATTGCAGCCAGATGGAAGAAAAGACTCTTAAATAGTGGGGCACTTTGTTTGAAACATAAACCTACAAACAAATAAGAACACCAAGGCTGTTCCTGTCAGTATCCTTGGCTGATGGTAGAGGGTATCCACCAGCAGACAGAGATGCTACCTAGAGGCTACAAGATAAAATTTTTTAAAAATTGTTGTTTAAAAAAAATGTTGTTTATATGAAAGGATGTTTAGGTGTAGCAAAAAAGAATCCAAAAGCAAATGTGAGGTGCTAAACCAGGATTCACAGATTGAGACATCTTTAAACACCTATCCCCCACATGGAGGTATGAAAGGGTCTAGGACAGGATTTATTTATGGAGGGAGACTTGGCATGTTCTGACTCCCACACACCCCTCTAGTAGCGAAGGGGAATGGCTTCTCAGAGAAAAGGGCTTTACTGGGACCACTCAGAGCTTCATTTTGCCCCTTACAGTTTGGGGTATATTGTACCCAGGGATCTGAACCATGCCTGAGAAATCTAATTTGTAAGAGGATGGCTTGAGAGCGCAACAGAGTTGGGGCAGGGAAGTGGGGGAGGTTGCTGTCTTCCCAAAGACTGCTGGGGCAAAGGATATCTGAGTGTTTTCCTGACGATTTGACGTGGGTCACGAGAGAGAGGCAGGCTGGGTTTCTTAGATCCTGTCCAAAAGACCAGGGTGCACCAATCAGACTGCATTTTAGAACATTTGCTTGATCGTTGTGGGAAACAGAGAACTCACTTTCCTGGATGTGAAGAAGACACATGCAGCCCTGGTTGCTAATGGCAGCCATCTTGGACACGGAAACATCTAGTTCAGAGGTGAAATTGACAGACAAGGAGAACAGAGCTGAAAGACCAGCAGAAAAATGAAGCATAAAGCTTGACTAAATGGTACATAAAATCTACCCTTGACCTGAACTTTTTGCTGAGGTGAAACAATAAGACTTGAACCCTGTCAAGTTAGTTTGAACTGAGCTTCTAATATTTATCATTGAAAGTGCTTCCTTTTATAATCTTTTCTAAGTGACCTGGAAGAAAATCCACAGTCCAAATTTGTGCTACACTAGGATAGTCCAAAAACAGGAAAAGGGAAAGAATCAGAACGTCCACTTCACTTGGGTCTTCGAGTGAACTCTATCCCTAGGGAAGATCTGGCCTCTAATCCAAATGAAGCATTGATTGAAAGAAGGACCTTCTTTTTTGGGGGGAGCTAAGAAAACAACCACAGGGGGTCAATTACATGTTACCTGGTAATGAACTCTCTGGGAGCCAGAAGAAACTGACTGCAGGTCCTAATGAGAAAATGGAAAAAAAAAAAAAAATCCATACCTTAAGATTAGTTTGAACAAGCTTCCTCTATACCTCTATCAACTGAACCTCCGACTGAGTATTAATCTCATCTAGAAAGTATCTATAACTCTTCCAAACTCATCAACCTTACACAAAGAAGGTAATGCCCCAAATAAGCAAAAACACACCAGCCTGGAATGAGAGAAGAAAGGCCATTTAGCTACTGAAATCTAGACATCCTAAATAGTTTTAGAGGGGAGTGAGAGCATTTCAAGGATCAACAAGACCAAAAGTAAAAACCGAGCAATTTCATTTTAATAGAGGGGTGCCATATTTAATTTGCACCTGAACTTTTGGCTTATGAAGAAAACTTCTAAAATCCCTTTAAGTACTTAGAAAGAATTTATTGATCTTAGACCAAATACAAACTGTCCTAGTAATTGTGTTTCTGCCACTAAGTGCTTGGCAAACACAGGTTTTCTTGGACAGCCAGGAGAAAATCACTGGCCACCTCTGCATGATCACGAAGTGCAAATTAATAGGGTTGAAATTAATGAAGTTTTACTGGCAGATTCTGAGAGTCTGGCTCCCTTTATAAAGTTTTATAACTAAGTTGTCACCATGATCATGTCCTGAAGGCTTCCTTGTTAATGAGGGTTGTGATTCTATTCACAGATGTCAGCAATCCTGGGTACATTTGTCTTCATACCTGCTTCCCACGAGGATTTACCAACATGATCTCTGTGCCCAACTTAGTTTTAAAACTTTTCCTTTTTTGACTTCATTTGTTCATTCATTCATTCATTTTTTTTTAAAAGAATCTCGCTTTCAGTTGACTGTTGGTATTATAAGCATGCCAATAAGTTAGTTTTCACCAAAGTCAATTCATCAGTCATGTCATAGACTACTGTGAAATCTTAAGTAACCCAAGATTTAAAAAGAAAAAAAAAAAACTTTGGTATGATTTATGATTTGCCTTTTTATTGCAGGTTTTCTGACAGAGGTTTCACAATAAAATAAAAACACATTTGGAAAAATGAGATATTGTGGCGTTTGAGGAATATCGATTTGGGTCTGAGTCACACACTACTAAGTCCACAAATTTTAACAAGTTGAAGTTTCCCTTGGTAAAAACAAATATAAAAACAAAAACAAACACAAGTGTAAAATTTGCTGACTTTTCTTCTCTCGCCCCTATCAGTATTCAAAGTTTGGTCTTTACCTCAAAATATATTGTGTTCACAATTCCATCTCTATCCTTAAAAATGCTGAAAAGGAAACTTCATAATTTTTCATATAACTTTATGCCTCCTAGGCCTGAAATTACTGCCACCAAAAGAACTAGAATCTCAAGTTCAAAGCTAAGCGGCTACAACTTGATGGTATTTTTTTAAAAGATTTTATTTATTTATTTGACACAGAGAGAGAGAGATCACAAGTAGGCAGAGAGGCAGGCAGAGAGAGAGGAGGAAGCAGGCTCCCCGCTGAGCAGAGAGCCCAATGCGGGGCTCAATCCTAGGACCCTGGGATCATGACCTGAGCCGAAGGCAGAGGCTTAACCCACTGAGCCACCCAGGCATCCCAACTTGATGGTATTTTAAGTGCTATATATCTTCTTTATTTGTGATATTTACTTATAGAGAATGTGTCATCTAGGAGAGACTTGTTCATCTTGTGGTATCTATCAGAATTACCCAATAGCTTAAAAAATACAAATGTCTAGACCACATCCAGAAAAAGATTATTTAAATCTGCACCTTTCATCAAGAAAAAATGATGAAGTGGTGGCTATTTATGTTTTTCATCATTTGTAGAATGAAGAGAGTGACTACTCCCTCTCAAAGTTTGGCAAAAACAATCAATGACAACCACAGTGCTGGGTCTGGGCCTCCTGACTTTGCTGATGCAGCTCAGATTAGTGGGAATGCCACATATGAGGTCTCTTCCACTGTCCTTCTCTGTGGTAAATCAGACTGAGGAGCAAAATGGAGTATCCTGTGTTCTGATACACATTCCCAGGAAGGACAGAAGGTTTTTCTTTCCCGTAGAAGTTATATTTTTTTAAAAATGTAGTGATCTCTGACCCGAGTGCTAGATACAAAACATTAAATAACCTAACTGTCTGTTCTCCGTCATTATTGATCAGGACCCTTTGAAATTCTCTACAGCTCAAAAAACACAGGGATGTCGTCTGGCAAGAAGACAAGAAGTTCCAAGCTACAGTTATGGATCACACTAGAGCAATACCCTTTCTCATTTCAACCACCTGTGGAGGGAAAATAGCCATGGGGGTCAGAGAGAGAGAAGATGTGGTCAGTGCTTAAAGGACGAGGACACCACACTTCCACTTCCTTCCCAGATGGGTCATTTCGGAAGTAAATATATATGGCTGGTAATTGTTTACAAAAATGGAAAACTGAGAAGAAATAATTGGCTAAAGAAACTCACCTCCTGTAGGCGGTCTATGTACATACGGCAAGTCTCCAAATCACAGTCTCCACGCACAACTAGAATACCCAGAGGGATAGCTAAGGGGGAAGGAAAGAGAAAAGTCTAAAATAACATATTTGATTTTTCTAGATTGGCATATCTTTGTTTCTTATGGCTAAAAAAGTCTCTCATAAATATTATTAGTGTTTTGGACATTTCAATATTCAAAATTCTCCTCAAACCTCCCCTGGGACCCAATCTCTTTATTTTGGATGCTTTCCCTGTATGAGCCATGCTGTCCCTTGCCACCTGGTTAGCCTTCATTTTGTCATGGTGGTCCTGGGATGAAGTATAATTCACAAGAACAGTGGGCTGCAGGACCGGGAGGTGACTTACTGTCAGCTAATAATTTATGCCTGCATTTTTGATAGTCCATGTATCGCCAGAGAGGAATTAAAAATTCTGGACACTTACTCCTTTCCCTCATGAATGTGTGGGGTTTAGTATTTCTGTCAGTTTGTGAGTGGTTCCCTGTTCAAGAGACTCAAGCTACTCAAGGCACTGTTGTTACCTGGTGGCCAACACCAGAACTACATCGGCATGAAATGTTTAAAAATAAATAAATAAAAGGTTCTAGAAGATTTACAGTCTAAAAATCCCATTGACTTTAAATATGGTCAGTGGAAATGCAGTAGCAGCAGGGCTTCAGGGAACAGTTAGGAAAAGCTGCTATGTGTCTTAAACACCTTCTATTTAGGTAGCGGCGAATGTTCCACAATGGCTTTAATAGATAGAACTCCCTACATCAGCGATAACCGCAAGATTCCTGAAACATTGTCTCCTTTCCAAAACTTCAAAAACTGTATTGCCTATCTCTAATTTTAAAAGTACAGTTGTATAATAAAATCCATAATTTAACCAAAAAAATACCCTTCGAAATTCTGAATTAGCCAATTCAGTTTAGCAAGCACGTGATAGGACACTGGTATTCACTAAAGATTTTCTAAATCTTTCATTCATGGAATTGTTAAAGTCTCATCATCAATAAATGGGTCTGAAAATGCAAAATGAATTAAAAATTAATAATATAGAGCATAAAATACATATAAAACACATGGAGAAATTTTGAAGAACCCACAAGGTCGTAGAGAAGATACCTATACACAATAATAATTGTAGCATAGGCTACATTAAATGTATGAGCTTAGTCATTTGAAAACTGTAGGAGCTAATTCTTGCCTGGAGGGTACTTTTAGGCTCTCTGTAAGATATGAAACCCCATTGTCTCTTTTAGTTAGAGAAGTGAGGACAGTCTGAAGAAAAAGAAATAGCTTCTTCCTCATTATGACCTCTTAGATTGGCAACCTAAAAAAACAGGGTGTGATACTGATGCCTCCAATGGAAACCAAAGTCCTACATACATAAAGCTTAAAAGCATCCATCATTGGGTAGAATTATGTAACCATGTGCATAAGTGTGGACTCTCTCACCAAGAATGACTTGTTTACCTTCACAACCATAATGTCTGGTAGAGCAGTGGTAGATAGTCAATAAGAGTTTGTAAAAAGAGGAAGAAGGGCTTAGAGAGTAAGCATGAAAGAGCTAAGTCAGCTTTCCAGGGGAGGCATAAAAACAAAGGTTTGGAGCAGGAGACAGAGCATGTGTTGGATTGGGGTAAGGGGGTGGGTAAGCAATAGAGTAAAGAGCCTTGCAAGTGTCATGTGTTTAGGGGAAATAATAATCTGGAAAAGCAGTTTTTCTCTTCTTGTTGAATATAACCAGAAACATCAAAAAAGTCATCAGTATGGAAATCATGCATCTTTAAAAAATGGAAAGGAAATTCAGTGAGGAGATTCCTAAAAGTATTGATTAAACTAATCATCCTCGGCTAGACCACCACATAGGTCCAAATAAGGTTACTTACTTAGGTAAAGAAAGATTAAGGATTTCTGACACTTAAGGAATGAGTAGGAAAAGCTAGAATTTTGGCTTAGAAAGTCAGTCAAATATTGTGGAAATAAAATGTAACTTACTAACATGAGAGCCCATGTTAGAATCTTACTTAAGGATGTTTACTCTTAATTTCAAATGTGAGAGTGTAGAAAAATGAAACTTAGTCAATATTATCTATTTACTTAAATTAGGAGACACATTTTATAGAAATGCAGGAATCCTGTCGACATCTCTGATTACCTTCTATTTTCAATACTTGGAGTTAATCTGGTCATAAATTCAATGTACTTGGTAGCAGATATTTTAAACTACAATTATAGAGTAGATATTCCAGACCTGAAATCAAGAAGGTAGTGCTAGGAAAAAGTTTTCAAAGACCTGTCATTCATTTCCTACTGTAAGTATAAAGTCAGCTACTCTGCAATATTCCTCAAGAAGTCAATTAAGAGAAGGAGTGCTTTTGATTGATGTTACCTATTAATTGGGCTTAAAAAAACCATTCTCTACCACAATTTCATATCACGATTACTGACAATTGCTGTCAAATCTATTCTATGAAAGTAGTAGCATGCAGTACAAAGGATTTATAGTCATTCTCTCTTGGATTCAAATCTACTGCTTTAATCTTACAAATTATTCACATTAATTAGCTTTCTGGTCCTGTAAATTACTCAATTCCTCTGATCCTTATAGTGATGACTATGGTATTTAGGATAGGTATCTTCTCAAATTTTGTGAAGAGTAAATGCAACACCTATTTAAAAATGAATAACCAAAACATCAATGTTCTTTCTCCTGTACTCTTTACTATCTTTTGAGCAACTTTAGCTAGAGAATGAACATATCTCATCACGTATCTTTCATTTCGCCATAATACTATAAGGATTAGCTGGTAGTTCCATAAAGTATATTCCTGTTTTCTTAAACTTCTACTCTTTCTGCGATAAAAAAAAAAAAAAAAAAAAACTATAGTATAAAAATACTGTGATCTGACAGTTTCATTTGGGGCTTGACATGGTGGAGAAAGCAGAAATCTGTGGAAAATTGTCATCTTCCTTTAACAAAATGGACAACTAACTACCACTGCAGTGGTTTCCTTCATATTAACTGGCAACAATGGAAGTAGTTATCACTTGGACTTAGCATCATGATCCCTGCTCCTGATGATTCATCTTATTTTGGCATTAGAGACTTTACTTGATGCCAGTAAGCAACAGCCAACCCTCAAACTACATAATGGAATTTTATTGCGGGGACCAAGTAGAATTTATAAGTTCTAAGCAATAAAGAACAAGCTGGCTTCTCAGTTAAGATGGCAGATTTAACACCCACATTTTCTCTTACAAGAAATGCTACTAAATTACAGTAAATGGATTTTTTTAAAGGTATAAACCAAGAAAAAAGAAGAGAAACAGTGAGCAGATAGTAACAGATGAAGCAGGTGGAAAATTGGTAAGTGACCCAGAGCTCCTATAGAGTCTAATCCTAAACCATGGGTAGGATTGATGAGAACCAACATGATTTATACACCAAAACCTTCAGAAGTCTTGCAAACTGGCAGTCTCAGGTGCCTCACAAACCAAGGATGGAGGGGGTAGCCAAAGTAGATGACTAGATTTCATCAACCACTCTGGCAGGTGCAAATACTTTACAGACAGTGGGGGATTAACTGACCATCTGAAGAATGCAGAAATCCCCAGATTTCTTCCCTCACTGGGCTCTCCAACAGTTGGCAGCCAGAACCTTACCTTTTTGGAAAGAGATTTGAAGCCTCCTCTCTAGGGAATTCTTAGAGAGTTGAAAGAAAATATTCCATCCATGAAATATACACAGATTATATAAAAGAAGACAAAGAATATGGGGAAGAAAAAGGAGAAGGAACACCATTCAGAGCACAAAAAAATTCTTGAAAATAAAAAAAAAAAATTGACAGGATAAATAGACTTTAATAGAAAGAATAGAAGATGAAGTGGAGAAAATCTCCATAAAAGTAGAGCAAAAATAAAACAAGGCACAAAATGCAAGAGAAACATTAAGAAAATTAAGGCTGGGCTAAGTGGTCCAACATTCAAATAATAGGAGTTCCAAAAACCAGAGAAGAGAGAAAGGAGTAATTATCAGAAATAAAATAAAAACTATTTCTTAGAACTAAAGAACATTATGGGGCACCTGGGTGGCTCAGTGGGTTAAAGCCTCTGCCTTTGGCTCAGGTCATGATCCCAGAGTCCTGGGATCGACCCCGCATTGGGCTCTCTGCTCTGCGGGGAGCCTGCTTCCCACTCTCTCTCTGCCTGCCTCTCTGCCTACTTGTGATCTCTGTCTGTCAAATAAATAAATAAAATCTTAAAAAAAAAAAAAAAAGAACTGAAGAACATTAGCTTCAAACTGAAATGGCCTGACAGGTAGGTGCCCAGCACAGTAACAATAGGAAGACATTTTATTTTAAAATTTAAGAACACTGGGGACAAAGAAGCATCTGTGAATTTCCAGAGAGTAATAACTGGATGACATACAAAGGACCAGGGATTACATTTTTTTAAAATTTTATTTACTTATTTGACAGACAGAGATCATAAGTAGGCAGAGAGGCAGGCAGAGAGAGAGGGGGAAGCAGGCTCCCCGCTAAGCAGAGAGCTGGATGCGGGGCTCGATCTCAGGATCACAAGATCCAGAGGCTTTAACCCACTGAGCCACCCAGGCACCCCCAGGGATTAGATGGTTTTAAACCATACAGGCAACTATACAATGGAACAAGGCCTTCACCATTCTAAGACTTATACATAATCTAAGCTCTCAAATGATTCCAAGGGTTGAATAAAGGACACACCCTGTCAAGAAGCTACTGTAGTCTTTCCCTGAACAAAAGTTGAGTTTGTAACCAGCATGACGAATACAAGCAGTGCAACATATGGGGAATGCAACAAAGAAGAGGAGCAAAGGAGACTTCCAAGGTGGGGCTAGATAAGCCTAGGATGACAGATGCAGTGGGTTGCCAAACAGTGTATATAAGAGCACTGTGACTCAAGAGACTGCTATGGGGGCAGCTGTCATCATTGCAATTTTCATGACCCTTGGAGTTATTTTTCAACCCAAGGATACAGCCCAGGTGAGTCCAAACCCATTTCTTATATATACCACAACATTA